AGGTAAAATATAGGAGGAGGGGGGGTAAAGGGGGGGGGGGGGGCTGGTACAGCAACCGCTAGTGGGTGTGGTGGATTACCTAAAAGGTTCCCTAATTCCCTGAGGATTCTGTGATGGGCGACATGTCTGTTATTCCACTTTTTAATCCCTTACTTTATAATGTCACCTCCAAAATGTTTTGCTCAGCAATACCCTTTTGAGGAATCCCCAAAAATGGATTGTTCCAGAAGTAGACACATCTATTTCCTGCCAGGATCTCTTACAGTACCGGTGGAATATGTTCCTGTGCTTAAGGATGTGGTGGACAAACGCCTGGAGGGGCTATTCAAAGCCTCATTCTCCATCATAGGGCCTACTCTGACCCTGGGTCAGTGCCTTTGGATCAGGAAGTTTTCCAGAAGCTAAAATTGCTTCTGGGGCTTTGCGTTATTGCATTGATGCTCTTGCTGATCCATTGTGTCAATCATCCATACTAGGAATTCTCTCAGCCCAGATGTGTGGCCTTTTGTGGCTCAAGTACTGGTCTGCAGAACCTGCTTGTAAAAAGCAGTTGGAGAGGATTCCCTTCACTGGAAAACTTTTTTGGGTGAAGGTATGGATGCCTTTTTTTAAAAGGGTCACAGAAGGAAAGAGTACCCTATTGCCTAGCAAAAAGAAAGTCTAAAGCTCCTCTGGGTAACAGTTCAAGTTCAGCTAGGAAGGTGTACTGCGAAGATGTACTGCTGAGACCCCGAAAGCGCTTGTATTGGATGGCGATTTGTCAATAAAGGACTTTTTGCTTCAAAACTTTTGGTGTGCTGGTGACAATCCTTTCTAGATCCACTTTCAGCTTATAGCCCTTCCTTTTGGCCTATCGATGACCCCTCGGGTGTTCACTAAAGTGTTAGAAACCAAAAATAGCCCTTCTGCTCTTTCAGGGAATACACAATGTGGGTTATCTAGATGATCTCCTTCTGAAAGTTGGAATAACAGACCTACACAGGACACTTCTTACAGTGGTACAGAGCTTCGGTTGGATAATAAACCATCAGAAGTCTTTGCTGATTTCTACTCATTGCTTGGAGTTCACACATTGCTAGGGCTCACCATAGACCAACAATAGCCAGGATATTTCTTTCCCCAAACAAGCTTCAGTCTCTACAAAGTCTGGTTCAGTCTGTTCGGTTGCAAGCACATCCCTCAGTACGGAGTTGTATGATGGTCCTGGGCATGATGGTTTCCTCCTTCGAAGCGGTCCCATTCACTCAGGCTCACTCAAGGCTGCTACAACTAAACATTTGCATGGCGGCACATGTTATCTGTAAGTAGGACTGGATCAGAGATTGGCTTTGAGTATGATCAAGGGCCAGATTTCAGCTTTAGCAGCTCTATTTCAGAAGTCCTTGGCCTCTCATTTGCTGGTTAAGGCCTTCGTACAGGGAGTGACTGAGTTAGCTCCTCCAAGACGCCCTCCGATGTCTCTGTGGGATCTCAATTAAGTTATTTTGTGTTTAAAATAAGCTTCGTTTGAGCCTATAGGACAGCGGTGGTGAACCTATGGCACGCGTGCCAGGGAGGGCACGCGGGGTCCTCTCTGCTGGCACGCGAGCCCAGGTTCAAGGACCACCAATTGAAATAGATCCGACCGACCCGGATCGCCTCAGTAAGCGATCTGGGGCAGTTACAATCAGGTAGCGGCGGCGGCCTCTAAACAGGCAGATTAGACGGCCGCTTCCTCCTCGCTAGGCCCCCGGGAGGCCCCCGCAAGCGACCATCTAATCTGCCTGTTTAGAGGTCACCGCTGCCTGATTGTGACCGGCCCGACTACAGAGGACGTTCGGATCCCCCTTAAGAACCGCACAGCCTTTTCAGCGCTGGCACTTTGAGGTAAATAACTTGATTTTGCGTCGCAATTTGGGCACTCGGGTTCAAAAAGGTTTGCCAACACTGCTATAGGAGATAATGCCTTGGAAGACCTTCTACGTAAGGCCATATTTCTTGTAGCGATTACTAGGAAGGTCTCTGAGCTAGCAGCCCTGTCCTGTAACAAGCCTTTTCTTGTTCTTCATGAAGAAAAGCTTGTGCTTAGGCCTAAGGACTCCTTTCTATCAAAGGTGGTATCATTCCTTTCACCTTAATCAGGACATTGCTTTGCCTTCCTTCTTTCATAACCCTAAAGATACTAGAGAAGTGTCATTACATTGTTTGGATGTCACACAGGCATTATGGGTCTATCTCAACGCCACTTCTTGTTTCAGGCAATCAGATTATTGGTTTATTCTTCCAGAGGGATCTCCTGCTTCTCCTTCCACTATATCACGTTGAATTAGGCAGGTCATTCTTCAGGCCTACTCTAGTAGTGGTGTAACTCCACCCTTTCCAGTCAGTGCTCATTCTACTAGATCTGTTAGTGCAGCCTGTGCTTTTTGCCTTGTAGATCTATAAGGCAGCCACCTGGTCCTCAGTTCATACTTTCTCTAGGTTTTATAAGGTGGATGTTCAGGCATCAGCTAATGCAAATTTTGGCTGTATGGCCTTGCAGGCAGCCAAATAGGTTCATCCTGTAGTATGCAGTCTGGTGTTTAAGATTGGTCTCCACCCCTCTGTTTATTGTTTGTGATGTCCCATTCATCTTGATTTGCCCTGTGTCCTGTGCTGTATGATCAAGAACATAGGATTTTTGACTTACCTGTAAAATCATTTTCTTGGAGTACAGTACAGAACACATGACCTTCCCCTCTGCATCTTCCATTGCTTGCAAAATAAATGAAGATCTCCTGTGGTGGGAGGGACTATATAGGCTCCTACAGCTCTGGCCAGTGTCCAGTCACCTGATGATACCACTATATATCCAGTCATCTTGATGCACCCTGTGTCCTATACTGTTCTCCAAAAAAGGATTTTACAGGTAAGTTAAAAATCCCATGTTCCTATTTATATTTTTATGTATGCCCTTTTGTACAATGACTAGACTAAGGGTAGTTCATAGGAAAGACTCTTTCCCAACAAGAAATTCATTAAAGTCCGATTGCTCATGATTGTTTGCAATAAACAAACCAAGTTAGTTCTAGATTAGTCAGAAATGTGATGTCAGAAATGTAATAAGTGCTGTAAACGGACTCTAAGGGGCCAGTTACATTTATCTCTTTTGGTGCATTACGCCACACATTAACGCATGTTATATGCATTAGCACAGTGCCATTTTTTCTGAACCCCCGAAGCACTAAACCAATGGACCTCTCATGCCCTTTGCGTTGCAGAGCACCACAATGCATAGTAAGGCACTATTGTGCATACAAAAAAAATGCTGCATGTCCATTTTGTTGTCCGTTGTGGTGCATTATTTGTCTGAAACAAAAATCTTAATATCATATCTTGTGGAAATCACTTCAACAGGGAAACAGACAGCGTTTAAAACCTGATAGAAAAATCTCTTTAGTTGGTAGAATGACAGATTTCAAAACCTGCCATAGGTTCTAAGCCTTCCCTTCTTTTAAAAAAAAATAACATTTGGTTTGAGTTGGGTTTTAAATCTTGATATGCCATGCCTGAATTACTTAGTAAGTAAGACATACTCATACTGTTTCTTTGTTTTTCTTTGCTGCTTGAAGTTTCTCATATTCCTGTGAATGCAACAAGCAAGAACTGTGACACTATTTATAAAGGATTTGCTAACTGTCTGATCAGCCTTGGAGAGAGTATGGCTCAAAATACCCACCAACCCAAAGTAAAGGAAGACTTGGATGACACTGAAGAGCTTGATTTTATATGCAAGTAGGTTGATAGTTTTATCATTATTTTTTACAGAGAATAAACAAAGTGGCTATCAATGTTATCAATATTATAATCAAAAAAACAATGTGATTTATATATTTGAAAAAAACCCTGAATAATATGTAGCTGTTTTTAGATGCTTACTGGCTGCTCACCTGTAGGCACAGTCAGTCTTTTTTTGCCATGCAAAATCTGAAATTCAGAAATACATATGTAAAATGAAAATCTATTTTCTGCTATTTTATTTTGGATATATTAGGCATAGTCTAAATATGATTCAGTTTGTTATAAGCATGAAGGAGGAGAGGAAGTATGGCTTTGGACAGTGTTCTGTTTAATGGGTATTTGTACAACATAGCAACCACCATGGATAAATTCCCTTTCAAATTAACTCCAATGCATTTTGCTGAAAATCGCAAAGCAAAATACATTTTGCTAAAATGTACATGTATTGGAGTCAATAGGAGGGGAAATTTTCTAAAGAACTAAACTAATTTCTACACACAACACTTGTTGATCTAACAATCAATCTTTACCCATACATTTCCTTTGATTTAAAGAAGTTGGCATCAGCTGCTATGAAGTGTTGGCACCCCAAATCCTATATATAAAAAGCTGACCTTGCCAGGCTGACAATCTCCTATTATTACAGATGTACATTCTGTGTTTCTATTTTTTTCTAATAAAAGGGTTTAATAACAGTTCTCCCGATGTAATCTGCAGGCCTGATACATCACTTTTACAGCGGGTCTGCTGTAAAAGTGATAAAACCAGCACCTAGCATGATTGTCAAACTCACAGCTCAATCCTGCGGATTAGCCTTGGACAGTTGTGCTGCTGTCATCTGCCGAGATCTACGTTCTAGCCCCTGGCACGGGTTCTCTGCCACACATTCTTGAGTGATTTCCTGCCTAATAGTGTCTGCATAGTTCTGCCATGTGTATTCTCTTTTGTATGTTCAAAGATGTCCATGGATTGAACAAAGATGAAAGGGATACACAGCAATCCCTTTATAGCACTGGCCCCAGGAATTGATAACATTGCATCGGAAATACTGCAAGCAACTGCAGAGGAACCAAACTTATGAATTTATGTCAATAAGTCTAGAAAACCACTTAATGGTGAATAGATAGGAAGAGATAGGGACAGTGGCGTAACGAGAGCTACAGTCGCCCGGGGCAGAACAAACTTTTTCAATCGCCGCCCCCCCCAATGTCTTAGCTATGAACATTCATTCAAGTGCCCTTCTGGCAGTCTTCAGGCTTTAAACAATGTAGAATGGCACAAGCTATAGAGGACTACAAATCCCAGAAATCCCTTGCACAGCCACCTGAGAGTCCGCCTAGCCCACCATAGTACCTGCACAGCCACCCAAAAGTCTGCACAGCCCACCACAGACCCAGCACAACCTACCATAGATCTCGCACAGCCACCTGAGAGTCCGCACAGCCCACTATAGACCTCGCACAGCCACCTCATAGTCTGTACAGCCCACCATAGACCTTGCAGCAGCCACCTGCGAGCCTGCACAGCCCACCATAGACCCCGCATAGCCCACCTGAGGGTCCGCACAGCCCAGCATTGAACCTGCACATCCATCTGAGAGTCAGCATAGCCCACCATAGACCCTAGCCCTTTGAGAGCAACCATAATGCTGATGTGGCAACAAATCCCCCTGACATGCATTAGATGCCTCACATGAATCAGATTCCCCCCTGCATGCAGCAGACAGTAACCCTCCCCGACATGCAGCAGAGATCCCCCCGACTTTTTTTCCCTTTCCCCCAACATGCAGCAGACAGAGATTCCCCCGACGTGTAGCAGATAGAGATCCTCCCCTTCTCCCCAACGTGCAGCAGACAGAGATCCCCCCCTATTTCCCGATGTTCAGCAGACAGAGATTCCCGCAGGTGCAGCAAACAGAGATTCTCCCACGTGACAGACATTCATACATTTCGGCACATCCCCCCACCTGCAGCAGCCAGAGATCCCGGACGTTCAGCAAAAGGAGACCCCCCCCCACCTGACAGACGGACAGACATTCTTACATTTCTTCGCTACACTTTGATCTCTCTGATCAGATGGCTGCTCTATGGATCCTCATGGACGAGGCCCCAGCTGTGCTGTTCTGTTCACCGGCTGTGGTGACATGCATCAGATCCCCACCAGCTGTGCTACTCTGTTCTGTTCACCGGCCTCTGTCCGGCGACTGGCGCCCCCCATCATTGCGCCCAGGGCAGCCGCGCAGTCGCCCCCCCCAGTTGTTACGCCACTGGATAGGGATAAGCCTCAGGTCTGGGTCCCTCTAAACCCAGTCTGTTTGCAGTTGGGGGGCATGACCATATTTGGCCAATTATGTCACCGGGATTCTGTAGCAGCTTTGTTTATGAACAGAACAGAGCAAGCAGGGAACTGCCATTTAGTGGCAAAGTTTTGTGTACATTGTGCTGGTGTACAACTTACATGCAGTTTTAAGGCATCTCCCAAGTATGCTATTTAAAGGACTTGTGTATTTTTAATGTTGCCACATTAAAAGACCATCTTTTCCCTAAAGAGTATTTTTAAAACTTTTTTGCATAGGTACATGTCCCCATATCAGTGTCCAGTACCCATGTCATTTTATTAACCAGAACTTTGAAATTGGCCAGAAAAAATATATAATTAGACTCCTGTAGACTTCAATGTGGTTCGCGGATTTCCCAATGGGTGAACTCCAAACAATTATGTGTAGGGTATCACTGATTGCTAAGATTAATTACCTGATAGGATCACTGATGCAAAGTCTAGATGCAAAGCCAGGTTATCCAGGTAGAGTGTGGTGAATACAATGTGTCTTCCTATAAACGCAGCGGGATCACTTCAGTATTGCCCACTTAGCACTGTTATGATTTGAGAGTGCAAGAGTTAAGTCCCTGCAGACTATAACCATAGAATCCTTAACACACAGGATAATGGGATTGCCTTTCTTCATACAATCCCTAATTGATTAGAGAGTGTTATGCTGGGCACACACCTTACAACCATCGCAAGACTTTTGTCTTGCAATGGTTGTAAGGTAAGAAAAAAAACATACGATCTGCCTATCTTGGACAGGCAGATCGTACTTGTGATGATCGCAAGCTGGGCCCCCCTGAAGGGCGGGCTTCCGATGACCGCAATGCCGAACGCGCAGTGTGCACTTGCGCACACCGGCCCATCCGGCTTTTATCTTACGAACATGCTACACACCCGCCGAACATTGTACGATGCTCGGCGGGCTTTCGAACATGTTCCTAAGATAAAAGTCGTGCAACCTTACAGTAGTAGAGGTCGCACGGCTTCCACACACCTTACGATAATGGTACGATCGTGGGATTTCCCGCGATTATCGTATGATTATCGCAAGGTGTGTGGGCACCTTTGTCCAGCGTTTCCTCACACCGGGACAAGCAGACTGTTTGTAGTATAGCAGTTCATGCAATCCAATAAAGTGTGCAATTCAATATATGACTGGCATCACAGGTCAAGAACATTAGGTACATCAAATGAATGGCAAAGCAGACAGGTAGAGAGGGTAAACTTGCAGTTAGTAGCTCAGAGAACAGTCCTCACTGTGGAAATAGCTTTTCCCACACCAATGTCTGCTTTAGGAGAGATCCCTTTGCACAGCAGCTGCGTTGGATAGGAAGGAGGATGTCAGCAATCACTGACATGATAAGGAGCTCAGCAGGGAAGATCCTTTGTGAGCAGGAATTGCTCAGCGTTGTGTTGCAGACAACAGAACGCTGACAATGCAAACATCATGGTTAAATGTGGGTGAGCCGGAAGCAAGCCTGGCCGTGATTGGACGTCGGCGGACGTTCGCTACGGTTAGAAACTGTAGTCTGAAAGGTGCAAGGTTAACAGGCCGGGTAACATACAAAGCAGATGTGGAACATGGATATGTACACACCAGCTGCTCTAAATGTAAGCAGAAAATACATCCAGTCTTCACACCTGACCCCCGCCCCCCCC